CATGACCTGGCCTTATCCTTTGTGGAAAAATAGGTCCATGCAGTTTTGGTATTTTTGTATTTTGGCCTTCCTTTCAAAAGAAACATACCAAAACTGCAGACCCCATGACCTGGTGGCCTCAGGAATTTGAAAAGTTAGTCCGTGCAGTTTGACTGTATTTGTGTCGTTTGCAAAGCCAAAATACAAAACTGCACAGACCCCATGACCTGACTTCAGCCACTCTGGGGGCATCTATTTAATCTATGTCCATTAAATGAACCGAAAACTAGCCTTTTTCAACAAATGCTTTCATTTGTTGGTTGTTTTCTAAGATAAGTTTGTTTTAAACATAGAAGCGTGATGTCTTTAAAACTTTGTTTTAAATTACGCCAAATAGTTTTAATATATTTGCAAGGGAATTGTAAGAACTACATTTTGTCGGCTCTTATTATTTGCAACCATTTGAAATACTATATATTGTTTGCTGTATTTTACAACTTGTTCAACTTGTTTGCAAACAATCTTCATGTAGAAATGATCATTGCCAGAGATCCAGAAAAGCAGCTTTTGGAATGAAAGCTTTGCTGTATATCAATGTTATAGTAGCGGGTACCGGGTATTCCCAGAGATCCAGAACAGAGCTTTTAACATGCAATCATGTTTCTTTTTTAAAAGTACGTTTTGAATAAAACACAAGGTTTTTGAATACCAAATAGAACCCTAATATATAGTTATGTTTTGTGTTTATCCTATTTTAGGTTGCCTGTAAATAGCTTTAATTTTTGGAGTTTGGTTTTAATGGAATGTCGTTTTTTGTTTTAGTTGATTCGCAACATGTTTAACTGTTTGCCTTTTTGCTTGTCAAAAGCAATCCTTTTAAATAAGTATTTGATTGGTGTTTTACGAAAACTAATGTGGCACTTGTGCTAATTGGATGACAGTTATGTGTTATATTTGCGTTGTCGAACATAGAATCGTGATAGAATATGTTTTACTCTTGTGTGTTCCAACACAGGCTTATATAATATATTTTAATGTACATTTTTAACAACATGTATTGTTGTTAGTTGGTCTAACTTACTTTTAAACTTGTTCAATTCGTTTTGGACATGTAGAGTTTGCTTTTTTTAATTGTATTTTCTGGATATATGTTCAATTTGCTTGTAGCAAAGGTAAAACAGTTAGGTAATAGTGACCAATTATTTATTTGAGCTTGCTCTATTTCGACGGTGTTTTTGTTTCAACAATATATATATATATACAGTTGTGATTGCTGTTAGATTAAATTAAACTTTTGGTTTCAATTATAGTTCTCAATTGTGTTCAATTCAGTTACATATACTTTTGAATTGTTGCTTTATTAATCAGAATTTGTTCGTTTATTTGTGTGCCAAAATAAATACAGTTGTAATTGCTGTTGAATTAATTAAATTCAACTTTTGGTTTCAATTATAGTTCAGTTACTTTCAATTCAGTTACATATATAATATGTACGTTGGACTTGATGCTTTAGGAAATCAGGTGTATTACTGAAACTAGATAGAATTTGCTGTTAGGCAATGTTGTTTATTTGCGTTTTCTTGTATCATTTTTTGCTTTCAAAACTTAAAACTGTTCACTGATTTTAAAGTGCGGTTGTTTTTTTGTAAAGATTTGGTTTTAGGATAGAATACAAATACTACATTTTCTATATGCTCTAATTTGTTCTCAAACCATTATCGTATATTTTTACATTCGGCTTTAATTAAGTGTCATTTGTTTGTGTTTCAATCAATTTCCAGTGTGTATTCACTTCATTTTTGTTAAACTAATGTCTAGTAAAATATATTGCGTTTATTGTTGGCGTATACTTTCAATGTGTTTTGCGACAGTTTTAGCATAGTTTCAACGATTTTTACTTGAATGTACGTGCCATTTCACATCCACAAAGTGTTTTGATTTTTGATGGAAGGTTTTAGAGAGGAAACCTATCTGTGATGAGGGACTTTTGATGGGCAGTTCTATTTTCACAGAGATCCAGAAGAAACGCTTTGACATGAAACCCCTTATATTGGACTTTTAATTTTAATTGTTGCCTAGAGACCCAGAGGGCAACTTTTGAAATGAAACCAAAGCTTCTCTACAAAGGATCATGTTCATATAGACGTGATCCTTCCCCAAAATCAATTAAGTTAGAATGACCATTGTTGTATAAACCTTCTTGATATCAAAGTTGTCATTACCAGAGATCCAGGAAAAACCTTTTGCAATGAACGGTTTTACGACTTTTGAACATAATAGAAGTGACATGAAATGACCATTCTCAAGGATACAAAGGAAAGCCTTTGAAATTACAATTTTAAGATCTTTGATATTTCAAGTTGATTTGTCGCCCATATCTGATAGCATTACCCAAAAGGTATGTACCGGGGGAGAGCATACTTATACATATGTATATATTACATGTATATATATATATATATGAATAGTTTGTACTGGCTGGAAGTCCTGCCCTGGTCCCTTCATTCATACATATACTCGCTCTATATATGCATGTTTAATTCCACTGTTAAAATTATACAATTGGAGTTGGATATTTTGTGTTTCATCGATGCATCAGAGTTCCTGCGATCAGCCAGTGTTTCACCCACGGGTTACCGCCTTGCCAGGTTTCTCCTTGGAGAAGTGTGAGGTGCGTTTTGGAGACGTTCCGGCCGTGACCATGGCCTGGAGACCCAGAGGGTTGGTTCAAAATGGTGCAGTATTCGCCTGAGGATATTGGATTTGATTTAAAGATCATGCTTTGACCATATTGAGGATTTGACCCAAAAACGTGACGTGGAGAGGTTCTCCCCCCTGGTTCCCGAAAGCCTTTACAAAGGGCTAGCCTCGTGGGGGGAAAACCATGACCATTCCCTATAGGTTCCTATAACCATAAATGTTGGGCCAACTGATATTGCTGCTAATTATCTGTATACACTCCTGAACAAATCTTTGAAGTGGCTGGCATGGCCAAGAAAGGATTGCCATTTTCCAAATACTACTTAACTTCCATCATTTCAGTGAGTGTAAGTACCAAAGTGCTGGAATGTGGAAGGTGGCGACCGATCCTAGACTACCCGGGATGAAAGTGTTTCAGTGACCTTTGGTTGGGCAGGGCATGGATGATCTAACGACAGTCACATCCTTTCCACTGCTTTTCCATCGATAAGCCAGCATGGCCATGAACAGGTGTATCCTCCAGAAACCGGGACGGAGTACTGCTTGGAACCGGGACGGAGCACTGGTGTTCGAAAAAATGGGAACGTCAACACTCAACACCCTCCGCCTCACGGTGAGACGTGCACCACGCTGGCCTCCAACCCAAAGCGATGCCCTCCATCCCGCGATGGCCTCCATAGTACAGGGATAGGGCCCCATCAAGAATGAACACCTGTAACCACCTGTAACCCGTACACATAGTACTACTGATAGTACTATATATAGTGCACATTCACGCAATGGACAAAACCAATCAGGGAAATTCCACTTGCAGTGCCTGTTTGAACATGTTTGACCTGCAGTTGTCGTATCAGAACTGTCGTCCATGGTGATTTTCATTGAACTGTTCCAGTGACATGACCTGTGCGATAAATTTCACCATACCATGTGTTACACATTCGGACCACCGGTCGGATAGACCATATACACGAACGTAGATATAAAGAAATACTAAGCACCCTAAGAAAAGAAGCCCTTCATCCATTTTCGAGTCAGACTTAAATTCCTGAATCTAAAGCATGTTGACTTCCACTAAGACCATCGTTTACACCAATAGGCCCCCCCCCCGAAGACAGCGATCAGGCCCCACGAGATGTGACGGATTTGGACGGACGGCACTTCAGGTGATGAATTCCTCTTCGATCGAAGCCATTGTGCCTGCAGCTTCGGACAATTCCAGCGTGCTGCTTGCCGCAGAAGAGCGAATTCGAGCGCTTTACACCCGTGTGTCGGGTGTTTGTCGAAGAAGGCGAGCTGATGACTGATGCACCCCTAGTGTTCCATCCGATCGAGAGTGTGCCCAATGCATTCGCTGATGGGCCGCGGGTGTGCAACCAGTGAGGTCCTTGTTCTCCGCATTTTTCGTTCCGGAGTCATTCGAGTCATACGGTGGTTCCTGTAAGTTGTGTATAATGTGGACAATGTATGTTGACATTGTCCTAAGATGCTTCGACCCATCATGACGCAGCTGCTTCAACTGCTGCGGCTGACCCGGGCTGTGGCATTGTTCAAACACGGGTGTCGACACTTCGAGACCAAGGGCGCTTGAGCAGGACAGAGCGAGTAGCTTCGTCAATGGCCGTTTTTCACCCGAGGCCCTTGCACCTTTTTTGCGGAGAGGAGCTCAAGCAGGCTGCGGCGGGAAAGCGCCCCCGCGCGTGTTTCTGTTCTTCGCGCAGCGATGCACAGCGTGTAAGGAATGGCAAGAGAGATCAAAAAAGCTTAGCGTGCGTGTCTCGTGCTGTCTTTTATAGGGGTGACCCAGGTCAACCCTGTTGGGGTCCCATGATCCTTCGATTCAATCTCTAGATCCATCTATATCCTCTACTTGGTTTCATCATCTCGGTAGTATCTTTATTTGCCTTCCTGTTTGGTCTGTCCCGCTCGGAAGTCCAACACGGAGCGCATCGAGCCATTGTGGGCCTGGGCGACGATCAGGGGCCTGACAAGCGTCCGATCAAGCTATGTAAGATGACTCGGATCTCGATCGGTCCCGCAAGGTGACCTTTCCCCAGACCTGGATTTTCCGCTACACCTTCCTGCCACTTGGACCGGCAGCTAGCATTCATTCGGGTCCACAGGAGCCAGCGATTTGAAGTGAAAGAAAGTGTAGTGCAGCTGATGCATGGGTTGACAACCTTTGCAACTTGGGGGCATCCTAAGGCCAGAAGTGTACTCTGTGGATCCTGAAGAAGCTTGGCACACGGCTTGAGCTGGCGAGCACGGCTAGCTTGTGGCGGTTGAAGTAAATCATGTTTGCATTGAGGGTATTCTCACCTTTCCCCGAACAAGCTCATTTGCTGCGCCATGTTCCCATTCTCTCAGCCCAAGAACTTCAAATTTTGCATTCAACACTTCAAGACGTTTTATAGTGAATAGATGGCACACATGTCCAAGTTTGGTGGTTTATGGACCCCCCACCAACCTCTTGGCGATAGCACCACTTCTACTAACCACTGTAGCTGAGCTCAAGCAGCGTCGATTGACCACTGGCCTTGGAGCCTTGCCGCCCGCGTCCTGAGACTTGAAGACTCAAGTCCGCTGCTCGTCCTGAGAAGTGGGGGAAACCCCAAGCGGTCCCAGGAAGTGGAGACTCAAAGCTATGAGTGGATCACCTTGTATGGCATGTATTTTGAGGACCTGCCAGGCGCCGCCAATCGAAAGCTCACTTGAACTGGAGTGATGTTTGGTGTGACCTCTCTTGAACTGGAGTGATTCGCAGTTGTGCCCCAGACTCTTGCACCCTTGCACCCTGCCTGATTGCATAGAAACGATTTGCATCGATTTGGGAACCTTCATGTGTGAAACGCACCACCCCCCCAAAAAAAAACATGCAGCCGCGTGCCCGCAGACGTTGCATGCGTCACTGCAGCCGCCTTTTCGGGGCTCCAGATTCGTTCTTCGAAGGCCTAGAAGGAGTGTCATCATGGAGTCTGACCTGCCAACAAGAGAGAAGAGCAGCAGCAGCATCAATTCCAGGAATGCTCGGCTTTCCTTGACGTCAGATTTTCACAAGATCGTTCCAGAGAAGAAAAACGATCGGGATTCTCAGGAGTTTGGTTGGTGGCATATGCAGCTCATCAACATGTGTGAAGGCAAGCTTATGACCACTGCCTTGGCTGCCATCATTTTGATAGATATGATGGCGACTGTTGCGGACATTGATGCGCGCGCCAAGCATCAGGAGCCTCCATTGGCCTCATTTGTTGTGTCAGAAGTTTGCCTAGGCATCTACACCATTGAGTTGATCTTCATATTTTGCATGAAGGGACGTCAAGGCTTCAAAGAGTCAGTGGTAATCTTTGATTTGCTCACGACCCTTTGTGGCTATTTGTCGACAGTGGTCAAGATTCTGAATCTCCCAGATGATTTTCAGTTCTTGTACGATGTCAGAGTTCTACGGGTGGCACGCATTGTGCGAGTGGCGCGGATTGTGCGCAAGACACGTTCTTTGAAAGAACTTCAGAAGTTGATTTCCATGATGTCGACCTGTTTGAAGGCCCTTGGCTGGTCGTTCCTGTTTTGCTTTGGAGTGATGACACTTTGGTCCATGCTTTTAGTGGAGTTCGTGCATCCAGTCATTGACAACATGTATCAGCAGGGATATTTCGAAGGATGTCAGGATTGCAAGTTAGCCACTTCTACAGTGATGAGGGCGAATCTTTTGCTCTTCAAAACGGTGGTGGCCGGAGACAGCTGGGGTGAGATCGCCGTTCCGGTCATCGAGCTCTACCCGGCCACGGCCTTCATTTTCTGTGGCTCCCTCTTGACGCTGATTTTTGGAGTCCTGAATATGGTCGTCGCTGTGACTTGGTCGCTGGGTCCGGTCGGTCCCTACCGGACCACGTGGACCGGTCGATGGGGGGTGGGATTTCCAGTGTCCCCACCGGACAGGAGTGGGGTTGATATATAGATTTTGGATAGGGAACTGCAACACCAAGAACAGACAAGAAGCAACGGTACATCAAAATCGCACATATAATATATTTTTGCCCCTACTTACACAACACACAATAACATTGATTATCAGATCACGATTCTTGAACAAGGCCCTTACTGACCATCAACATCCACTTCTGTTACTGGTCATAATAGGGTAAGGACAGACCCAAGCTAAAAGATAAGAACAGCGCATCCCACCAGTCGCATCCTGTCAACAATGACACACACACATACGTTTCACGGCATGCCACGAGGGTACCCACCCAAGATGACCACCATATCACGCACCACGCGTATTGAACGACACACCAGATACACCAGGCGCACATAAGCGCAACCACAAGAGGTCTGTCTCCACCGGTGTGCACTTCTATTCAAGAGCGATTCTGGGGGGTAGCACATGTTCGAGCACGGCACCTGGGAAGCTCGTTGGAACGGAGAATGATTTCGGGCCAGCCACATGGGTCGGAGGAAGGTGATTGGGTTTTGAGCAGAGGTGGTGGTCGATGGCTTTGCCGAGAGCCGCCAACGAGATGTGATGAACTTGGCGGAAGAGCTCGACCATGATCACGAGTCCGACAAGCAGAAGTTGGAAAAAATGTTCAATCGACTCTTTTCTGTAAAATATAACAACCATTGGCATTGTCATAAGAAATTGTCATGATAAATTTTCTCCCGGATGCTTTTTGGGGGTGCATCCGGGGTCGACCATTCAACGTTTACACATGAATGTGATGTTCAAACATGTCAGGATGTTTCAGTCATCCCATTTGCGTCTTCTCTATTCAGGGAAAACATGTTCGATCATTTTTGCCATCATTGATATGATTTGATATCATTTGTATACTGTATATGTATATATATATGTTGTTGTAATAGTATTGAAAGGTGCTTGATGCCGGCATTGCTTCATTTTTAGTCTTTGCATCCACTTTGATGATGGTGTGAACATAACAATAAATAAAAACACAGCAATTGCATACAAAAGGGCCATACTTTTAGAAACTATAGGTGCTATATATATAGGTGGAATTTGGAGGACTTTCAGCTTCAACTGTATTCGAGCTCGCACTGCTCGCATTGAAAAATCCAAGACGCTAGCCTTTTTTGAGCGCTTTTGGTGACCCTATTAAGGGAAGGTCGAATTTTAGCATTCTGTAGGGGGGGGGAGAGTAGCTTCCACTGGGGATGTTGTGGGAGTGGCCACAGCAAAATATACACATAATGATATTTATAGGTCATTAGAAAGACCATACTTTGGAGAGGTTTGGTGGAGATGTATGGATACCTTCAGCTCGGTGAAAACCAAGTGCATTGGCGTGTAATGTGTTGGAGCGATTCTTCCCTGGAAAGCCTACGTTTCGGGAGCAAAGCTATTGATTGTTAACTTACTGGTATTCCGTAGCAAATTGCACTGTGTGAAAGGAACACCGCAACGTGCATTAACCCCAAAGAGAGGAGTTTCTGATCTTCATCTTCAAGACATTTCTACACATGCTGACGGTAAGGGTCCACAGTCCTTGGCGGCACAATCACAATTTTCTAGTATGTGCATTAAATGGTTGCATGCTCAAGGTATGTTTCCTTCCCAGTATGACAGACGGGTTGGAAGATCGAAATTGACTGGGGTGTTAGAGGTTTCCCTGCCTGCAAGGGGCAGCCATGTCTCCTTTGTCAATTGGCAGTTGGAGATGGTCCGATGTCTCCTCCACATCAACCTAAATGAGAAAGTGGGAGGGGCTATGGCTATGGATCTTGCTTTTGAATGCTTTTGAGCAGTTTCGTTGTAATGTTCTGGCTTGGCGACGCTCATCGTGCCTGCGCCCGATTACTGTAAGCATGTTCGCATTCTGACCGGCTGGAGGCGACGGAGGCGCCTCACTAAGCAAAGCAACAAATCCACTGTTGCAGGGAATGGGATACACCCAAGGCATTTAGCAACACTGGGGAGAGCTTTTTGCGTTCCTTGCGGTAGCAGTCGAGGGACTCAATAGCGCTTTATAGATTTGGAGCCGTGAGTTTGCGAACAGTCATGAACCAACCCCACGTGGTTGCGAACTCTAAAGCCATGCATTTAACAAGTTTTGCACCTGCTGACTCGTCCATGCAGTTAAGCTCACGGTGGGCGATTGAGCCGATAGGGTCACGGACATTGAACCGTTTTGCAGGTGTTGTGCTTAAACTATTTTTAAATATGTTTAACATATTTAGGTGCTCAGGGTGGGTTGAGAGGGGCCACGCCCAAGCGAGTGAAGCGCCCAAGGTCCGCTAGTGTCCTTTTCCTGCCCTGAGTAAGCTTTGCCCATCATAGCGAGGTAGGGGTCGCGGATGGCGATGTTGCGTGTTTGCAACCAGATGCATGACCAGGGCTGCAGGGCCCCCTACTCATGTCCATGTTTCACCCCTGTTCTCAGACTAGCTGCGGTAACATCCAAGAGTTAAACAAACATGGTGCGAGTGAATGGAATACGAACCTGGCAGGGTCGGTTCTTTTGCCTGTTGTGTGGGCTTGAGTTGGTGAGTGACCTCTAAATCTCTATATATATAGTGCTTGTGGGGTGGGGTGGGGTGGGGTCGGGTGGGGGTAACAACAGTAGGTTCACATGCTACGGCTGGAACGCTACGTGCACACGACACCACTGGACAAAAGCATCAGAAACCCAGTCTAGCTAAAGATTGCTTTGAAGTTGTTTACAGCGAATGCACAACCGGAAACTATTCACAAAAGTGTTTTCAAGATGTCGACAGCGGCGACTTTAAGGAATCGACATGTCTTCCACGGGTGAGTTAACCCTGGATGATTTGGTGAAGGGTGCGCAGACGGACCCCGAATTCCGGAGCCGATTGCGCGTCATGGACATTGATGCCCATGATTTGGAACAGTTTTTTGAGATGATCGACGCGGATGGCTCGGGCGCGATTGAGTAACTTGCTGAAATTTTCAGCCCTGCAGGCATGTTTTATGATGAATATGATAGTGAACATCAAGGGACGCATCAGACATTTACAATAACATAAAACAATTTGCACTCTTGTTTGCAAAGCGCCCCCAGATGTTGATCCCTAGCATTGGCTCCACCAGCGTTTGAAACTTGGGCATCGTCACAACGAACGATTTGACCCCGTTTTTGCCAGAAACGCGGCTCGTCTCCAGCACGTGGTTTCACACGGCACACGCTGTTGGTTCCAAGGAAAGAGGAATTCACAGGACCTTTGAGCCGCTGGATCCACGAGTCGAAAACAGCGCCACGATTTGCCAAGTACAACATTGATCGGGTGCCACTTGGCAAAAAAGAACTCCTGTTGGGACTGAACCACTGAACCACTAGCAACATGTTTTTGTTTGGCAGTCTTTGTGGTTACGGGATCAGGTTGGGCTTCTTTGTTTTTTTCCCTCAGGTTGTTTTCAACATGTCAGACAGGCCGCCCAAATGCCAGTCTGAGTCCAGGTCAATTGATGATCCGTAATGACTAACATACAATTACGGAAACATCGCGGGGGGATGCGGGAGGCGTTCCACCTGTGTTTTTCGATTTGCCTCCAAAGAAACACACCAGGAATGGTGCAAGGTACCGATTGTAGAAATCAGAGGTTTAAAAACAGTAAGAAACAAACTGGAGGTTCAAAGTGACCTCTTGAGGGATCTCAAGCTCGTCGCTCACTTTGAAGGTCCTGGAGTTAGTTGTGTTTCGTTTCCGCGACGTTGCCTATAAGTCGTTGTTTGGCACCCGAACAGTGAACATGTTGGTGACTGTCCGCGAGGATGCTCAGTGTTCAATAGCTTTCACATGGTTCCCCACTTCCTCGTCTAACATGATGTGTCGCAGCATCGATGTTGCGGGACTCATCCAGGCTTTCACTCCAAGAGGAGTTCCTTCATCAGTGCGAACTCCAGTTTGCCAACTTGGAAACCCGTTTCGATGAACTCGCTGAGCAGTTGAAAGGAGGTTCCGTCACCGAGACGCCTGGAGCCGCGCGGCGACATGGCTTTGTGGCTCGGTGATTGAGCGGAGCGGAGCGGATGTCGTCGGCGGTCGGCCCATGGCTAGGGCGGTCGGTGGATAAAAACCCCATGGATCCCGGAGGAAGGTTTTTTTAATGGTTTTTTGGTTCAAAGATGAAGTGGTTGACACATGATAAAAAGTGTGACCAGTTTGTTCAAACACGTGGTGAAACCATACTACATGACATTAGATTCTATTAGATGTGTGTCATGCTATTGGAGGGCGTTTGGTCGAAGTTTGATACCTTTGTTTCCTGAACTTGTTTGGTTGTCGTGCTTTGTCACGGACTTTTTTTACCTCGCCGTTGGTTGAGGTGCTCGACCAACATCTTCCAGAGAGTGTGGCCTTGGAAGGTGGCATAGAGCAGCCGAATGGGTCGGATCGACTCAGACCCTGGCTACATGATCAGACCACGGGGAGGTCTGATCAGACTGCCACGGCCGACCCAGAGGAGCCGGATGCGAGAGGAGCATCGCCAGACTCGCCACGCAGTCCACGGATGCGAGTGATTTGACCTGCGGACCTGCGAGTTGGAGCAGCGACCTTTTTTACGCATTTGTTGCGATTTGGACCCAAGTGGACTGAGGCTTGAAACCATCTGAATCTACAGTGTTGTGCCAAAGTTTGAGAGATTCTCCTCCCAGTTCTTGTCGTGGCCCAGCCTCGTCCAGCTTTTGGAAGACGCGCTCAGTAATTAAGGTACAGGAGTTCTATACAGAAGTCTCATGAGTGAGTCGTAAGAATAGTCTTGAGGCGTTCGGTCTCAAGTTTTCCAGCTGCACTCTGTAGTTGGGCTGCTTTTCTTGCAGCCTGAAGCCGCGTAAAGCGCGCGCTTCACACCGAAAGACTGACACGAAAGGCCACATGAGCGAGGACAAAGATGCTTTCAGAGTGCGCAGGTGGCCCTGATGCAGTGGGGTACTGCTTTCAGTGGCCCCCTTTCAGTGGTACTGATAGCGTTGCATTCTCAAAGCACCTGCTCATGTACAGACAGCGCGCAAAGGACTTTCTGGGAACAATGCTGATTGGTCCTTGGCGCATTCGCTGAGATCATTTAGGATGAAGTTCAATGTATGCTGCTCATTAATTTGTTGTTACATATATTTTCCTTTGTGCCGGAATCCCCCACTTAGATCAAATTCTTACAGTCTCCTTAGACCCGCTGCAACCAGCATCTCCAGCTTCACATCACCGCCTTCAGCGGAAGAAACTCCGAAGATCTCCACGTCCAACGGGCCACGGATGCCTTGAGCAGTTGCAATGAACGGCCATGGTCATGCCGTCATGCCGTAGAGCACAGCCTCCCCCGCGATGCGTTGAATGATGTTGATCAACGTGCTTTACCATGTTTTACACCCATCCTTGCTCTAAAATGGTGGGCCCACCCAGTGCCACTTGCCAAGATGCAGAATGCCATGTTCATGCCATTCATAGTAGAGTCATGTGCGGAATGCCATCACGACTGAAGCGGGGGATGCCGGTTCATGTTCCCTGGCGCTGACGAGTCCTCGTCCGCGCGGGCGAGCGGCTCGAGTTCCGTGCAGGCCGCGCTTGCCTCATCGGCGGAGAGTTGGTGCAGTGGACGGCTGTAAGGGTGTTGACGGCTGAGATGGTGCAGTGTCGGGTGCTTCTATGGCAACAGGCTGGGGGCCGGGCAGTATGCAGTATGTAGTGGTATGCAGTACTCTCCGCACGTGAGCGCAAACATCATCAAAGATCACATCAAGAGGACTTGCCCCAAGCCAGTTCTGCGTCTTGTGCTTTTTGAGATTCCAATGTTGTGACTGCAAACGGGTTTCAAGGGAGCTGAGATCCTCATGCTTGGTGCTGCTAGTTACGATAGATGCCAGCTCCGAGGGGGTAGCGGTCGGAACTCCTCTTTGGAGGAGGCCTTTGTGACGATCTTGGCAACAGGTAGCCATCCAGCGCTTTCACTACACAAGTAACTTCAAGCACGTCCCCGACCAAATTAAACCTACATGTGCTACTGAACCAAAACAACCGCAGGATGTGTCCAACCTCACGGTCGCTTTCTCCAATGACGGCCTCTTCTTCTCGAAGGAGACGGTCATCTTAAATACATGGGTGCGCATCCGTGTTCTTGCTCTTCAGCCCAGCTCCTGGGACGATAAGTCTTTCAGTCTCCTTCTATTCGTACTTGGAGCCACAGCAACCACCGCCTGAAAATTGGAGCAGAGTCTTGAGCAAAAGAACTGGTGATATACTGACACGACAGTTATTTATTAAAATATAAATATCTACAGTATAAATACACTCCATGACAGTTTGCAGCCAAAAGAATCAGACATTCCGCTTTGACTGCGACCGACACTCGCACCGTTGACGTCTTCGTGCTGCCATGCCTGGTCCGGAGAACAGAGGTTCTGTGTACATCGCGGAAGCGGCCAACATCACCCTATTGGGGCGGAACTTCATTCCAGGTTTACAGCAGCTTCGTTGCATCAGAACGGTCATGTGGAAAAACGGCTCTAGGACTGGGGCGTGGAAGGATGGAAGTAATTACTGGTGCTTTCAGTGGAGAGTCCTGCTCATCAACCACCCAACTCGGAGGATTGAATCGATGAGCCTTACAGATAAGTCATCATGAGTCATCAACGAGTTTGCTTTGCAGCGGTGTGGTGTGTCAAGTTTTAGTAGCCTAGGCATGCCTAGGCCTAGGTAGACAGTTGATATAATTTGATTGATTGAAGTGTTTCTCCATGTTTCCAATCGTTGTTCATTGCCTTTAGTGGTGTGCACCCAGACAGTGTCGAGAGCGAGGAGCGAGGTGTTGGCCCCTTGAGCACTGTAGCAGTGGTTTCCGTCTGTTTCCTTCCCATCCTGCTATATTGCTCACAGGATCTTTTGGAACAGCCAACAGCTCGTTTACCTTTGGGGCTTGCAGTCGGCTTTTCATTGGAGCTTTCATACAGGGACGGCGTGTCACAGAAAGTTTTGGTAGTTGCAAGAGTCTGGCGCATGCGCGCGTGCGGCTTTTGGACTGCAAGATCCCACAAATTGGACTGCGTTCGATCAGCGGTGGTCAACTGAGGTGCCTTTTCAACGACTATGCCCGCGTTGAGCAGGTGGGAGGGTTTCAGAGACGAAACGCTCGGGTGGGTGAGCCGGCCATCTCTCATTGGTTGCCTGCCATAAGGATTCGAAGAGATGCTCAGACGGCTTTGTAACATGCTCGTGTAGCATATCGGGATGCAAACTCATACAGTATTCTACGGTGATGTGATGCAAATATATCCCTCCAATTTGCTTCTAATTCGGTTTGGGTTTTGAGTGCCAAGAAGCTAGTCCCTGGAAGCATCAGAATTGCCCTGACAGGTGGTCCTGCGACACAGCCAGCTGCAGTGTAGGATGCCACCATACTTCTTGATGCCTGGCTTGTGCGTGGCAGGGCCTTGCGAAGAAGACGGATTGCTCAAGTCTGGGACAACGAGTCTTAGTAACTTACTGTAGGCTCCCAGCTGTCCGCTCGGGGTCAGGTCGGTGAAAGACCAGAATAGGCCGATCAGCACATTAGTATTAGGTGGGGTGGGGTCAGGATGATGGAAAAGGACCTCCAAAATTATATATATATAATTACTGTTGTACAAGAAGCTTGGTGGGTTGGCATATGCATGTAAACCCGCGGATGGGCGGGTGGAATGCATGTAACCGTTATAGGTGTTTTTCATCGCAGAAAAACTGAAAGAGTGGACGGTTCTGACCTTGCTGCCCACCACTCAGCCATACGGAGTACACTCTGCCGCTACCCTTTATGAGCTGCAGATGGACGGAGGGGCACAGAGAGCTTGGACTCATTTCTTCCAGGAAGCTTGGCATTGGAAACGTCACGGTGCGTGTGATCATGCGAGAAGACCGGGCTCGTGGCACCAAGTACTTCCTGGAAGACGCCTGGGCTTTGAACGTGAGCGCGAACGCGAGGTCGGTCTCGCGCGCAGATGTTCCAAAACCCGGAATGCCTATACAAGGGCTTTCCGACCACCTTGTCATGGCGGGGACTTCAGGCGGGTTGAAACGAAGAACGCACATAGAAGCCCCTGAGTAGAGGAGAAGGGGTCCCTGGTATGTTTTTGACTATAGCTTTTGACTATACTATGTGACTATGTGGGAAGGTTTCTTTTGCCCCCTCCTCTTGACAATGTTCTTTACTTCAAGCACTGGAAGAAGTGCTTGAATTGGCCAGTCAGAGTACTGCAATTGGAGTTCGGACAACCTCGTTTGCAATCTTTAGTTTGTTTTAATTGTGACAGGTATTGGAGTCCAGTTAAAATACCTCCATGTTTGCAGCACTTGCTCTCATCTTGCAGATTGAAGATTGAACATCCTTTGCAAGCGGAGCACCCTGCATGTTTTGCAACGATATGGGCCGAATGGGACTTCGCATGTCGAAGTTATGAGTCCATGTTCACCTGCTTTCACATAAAGGTCACAACATAATTTCAGACTGCAGCTATCAGTGGTGTCAGAGCTGAAGATGGCAGAGTATGACCCCAAGATGGTGCATCAAAAATGGGGGTTTGCATCCATCTAATCCATCCAGCTTGTAAGCAGACAGACCCTCTACAACTACAAGGACCATTGGTCTTCCGGTCGAACTGTTCCACTTCGATTGTTTGATAGCGAACTGTTTGCGAGTGTGCCATCCATTCAAACCTGTCAGTGACATGACCTGACTCAAGGAGCAGGAGTTTTCCTTAGCTCTGCTGGAGCGGCCGCCCGAGCCCATCGATCCTTGGCCACGGAACCGCCCGGTGAAACAGAGGACGGCCCCGGCAACCACGAAACGTCGCAGAGTGATGCAAATCAAATCGTAGAGGTGATCACACCCGACATGGGATGACATGGGTGATATATGTGATACGTTAACAACTGTTGATTTGGGTTCTTTTTTTAGAACAACTCCAAGCAATAGGATTCAATAGACTTCCCAAGAACGTCTCACAAGGTGTAAGGGAGTGTTATGGGTCAAGCATGTGTCAAACGGCAATACAGTAATCAACATGTGTTTTGTGAGAGCTTAGAAGTGATAATATGTGCATTCAGGGTGTCTCACAGCAAACATGTCTCAGGGCAGTATGACTATGACCACAAAGTCACATGTTGCTACTAGAGGCAGCACGCATTGTAGAGAGACAGGCCACATCAATATCCTTAGTCAAGACGAACCTTGCACCCAGCTTAAGCAGTTCATGATGTTGGTGGTCCATGTGAAGACCTCAAAGAGACTTCACTTCCGTCCTTTTTCAGTCTCCATTTGAGAGATTACACTTGCCAAAAAAGGAGAACCTCCGTCTCTGACCCCTGCAAGGTGTCGCCCATGCAGCTGGAGCCGGCAAAACTGGAGCCGACGACCTCAGACTTCCGAAGGCACGTGGGACGGAAAAGAGAGACCACTCGTGGCTTGGGAGGATGTCAGAAAACCGGAGCAGACTGCCCTGTTTTGCGTTATTTCTGGACCACTGCGGTGACACATGAGTCCTGCGCATATTTGTGTTTCGAGTGCTAGCCGCACGACCACAAATCTCCCATGTTCTGAAACAGGCCAACAGGCAATGGAACTTCTGGACCAGTTGGAAGGAGCTGGTCCCTGGTAGCAGTGCACGGCCGTGAAAAGCACTCCAGGGCCCAACTCTTCAATCTAGCCTAAGGTGACAGTGAGTTCGATACATTTTTTTCATCCTTTGGGGAGTTGAAGCCGTTCGATCGATGAGTAAGACGGACGAAGCTTTGCAGGTACATGGGGGAGTTGCCCAACGGCACGGAGCCAGAGATTTTGAATGCCACAGAAAATGTGGCACAGCAGCAGTTGATGCCGTCACAGCTGAGCCCCCCAATGAGCGATGAAAATGGGGCGAAGTTGCTGATGACCAGCGACGAGAGGGGTGCTTGTTTGTCCTTTTCCGAGAAACAAATGTTGGGCAGTGATTCTTAAGTGTTCTTCCCCACTTGTTGAGTCATACTGTACCTGCGAGATACACAGTTCAGACCTATATTCTGCCTGTCGCTATTCACATGAAGCGTTCAGCGGGGGCAGGCAGTTGTGGCAGTGCACGTTTTTAGCACTTTTGATGTTTGATCATTTGACAAGTGTAAAGTGCATTAAAGTGTAAAGTCTTACATGAATGTTCCTAATACAAATCTACTGGCGCGACCAAGAACAGGAGCAGCTATATAAATGAGCCTGAAACAAATCGATTTATGTAATTAGCAATTATTGGAAAAGCTGAAGAGCCACAAGACTAGCCAAATAATAATGCTTGAGCAAGCAAATCGATATTTAGGGAACACATACCAAAAGGAACATAGTAAGTTCTATTCAAGATTGCTAGGTAACAAAAAGTTGTACCGGATTTTTTGCAAAGCAGCAATAGGTTAAGGTTCCTGGGTCCCCTCCACACAGCATGAAAATACCTTCAACAACCGCTAGTTCTCGGAGATCTTAGACCGGGAAGGGGGTGCCTAAAAAAGAAGGAACCCCACTAAGCTAAAAAAGAAAGCACATAACTCAGAACAAACATTATTAGAAGTTGTTCCTTTGGGGAGAGGGTTCAGTCAAGATTCTGGAAGCCTTTTCTGAAGGTCATCCCGCTTGCCAGCCCAAGACCTCAAGAATTGTTGTTTTTTGTTTTATCGTTCTATGATTTGTGTAAGCCAGCTCTTGGCTGAAGTGTTTGGCAGTGCACTTGCAAGTGCTGTGGTGAAATGTATGTATTATATATATATATATGTGTGTGTATACGTGTCCAAGAGAGCTGAAAAATGCACTGTCAGGGGCCAGGAGTGCACGAAAATGCATACAGTATCATCATATAAACAACTAGAAATAATAAAGATACATTGTGTATATATAATTATATAATATATATTTGCCCATCTCCAGATGCCGGGTATGAGTACTTTGCCAGACGACTAGAGCTGCAGCCGTATAAAAGAAGGGAACATATACTGTACAACGACGGAGTGAGCACACTCAACTTGTTCCATGCGACAGCAGCATACTTTCGGCAACACTCAGGTCTTGAGGCTGGGCCAGTTCTGGTGGCCCTCCACTTTGTCAGATGGAAGTGAGCCATCAAGAACCTCAGCTGAGGAGCCTACAGAAGACTCGATTGAGGATCCATGCGCGGTCAAAAGTCCAGTTGACCTCATGGGCTTCACTTAGGGTATCACGTTTGACCTGCCATGTCATGTGGGGTTTGGAGTGGGTGCTTGTATGGTTGTGGGTTCTGTAAAGATCATTGATTGGGAGTTTGTTTAACATTGGTCTACTTAGACTTATATAGTCTACTTGGTTACTTAAGGCTTCATTGTTCGGTTTCACCCTCATACCACACTCTACAACATTCCTTGTCTTCACTTAGCTTCCAATCTATCTTTTGTGGGCCCAAACCTTATGCCTGACTTATGGCGCAGTCGCTTGGTCCCGTGCCAGACACTACTAGATCACTCAACGGTTGATTAATATATATATATATACACACAAACGATATATATATAATTAGATTTATGCTTAAACAAACTCAATCGCCTTCAATCTTGCATATTTCATGTTAACTGAGTACACAGCATGTTAGGCCTGGCAGCAGACCGATGCTGGGTGCTTCGGACCCAAACCACGTGTCCCGTCCAAGGCTTCTCACGCATTTCGATCTCTCCTCAGCGGGGTCCCTTGGATGGCCTCGACGTGATCCTCCGCACGGAGCGCTTCTTTGTTTTTTTTCCGCTGACACATTCGTGTATAGACTCTCTCTCTTTCTCTCTCTCTCTTTCTGCAGGGGCGATGGGTTTGGAGGTGGAAAGGAGGGAAGATGAGGTGACTCTTGATGTCAGATTTGTCATAGATTTGTCAACCTTTGAAGCTTTTGTTGCGTCGTGAAGACCTGCTTTGATATACATCTACATTGCCAGGACGGCTTCTACATTCCGCCCTTCTCACGCTGCCGATGTCAATTTGGCACGGTGCAGGTGAGGCTTTTCGGGTGGAGCGGGTCCTGTTTCCCTCATTTGGCGGGTCCTGTTCCGTTCCGTTCGCCACACAGTCTAGAGTCTAGAGGGCTTGGTGAGCTGCCCGTCCAACGTCATGCTGGCATCATACCATGCTACTATCCACTATCGACTCCACTCTCTACTATCTACTATGTCCACAATTGCCACTACCTACTCAAAACTTCATGAGAAGGCCTGCCGCCATGGAAAAACCACGCCGCTCCCGTGGTTTAGAAAAGGCTGCGTTGCTACGCCTGAGGTGCCAGCCTATTGTGTGGCACAGCTTCAACAAGTACAGTGCAGGCGGGTCACCAACTCGGCGCATGCTTTGACAAGGACTTGGGCAAGTCATCAAACACCTTTGGTTTCCAAACCAGGAGCACTTGCAGCGCTAGAAACCTCATGTAGATTCATGTAGCCATGTTGGGCCATGTTGCATGTTCGTTGCATAATGTTGCATGTTCGTTGCATAATCAGATCGCATTCCGATTCCGATGCAATCCTGATGCATTCTGCACAGTATGAGTGCCGCCCCCATTTCCAGGGCCCCAGCAGTCACGGGCCAGCAGACAGATGCTTGGCTAGATGTAAAGCAACTGGCCCCCAGACCCCGGAGTGAAGTTTCCACTCCTTTTCGATAAGTCCGTATATATGAGAATAGCCTAAGCTTGCATGTGAAGCGTAATCGGCATACTGACGTTACTGTTGGAGCATCCAATCAACTCAACAAAGTTCTACACTCGCGCGGGAATGTGTGTGGATGGTGGATTGCCTCTGTCCCTCGTCGCCATGTTTCGCCTCCGGCCTCGGGCCCTCCATTCCAAGGTCGACGTGAGGTTCTCCGTGAACGACGGAGCCACCTGGGGACCCAAAGCCCGCTTTGCCTACTATGCTCCACCACTCTTCGCTGCGCTGCATCCACCGCTCGGCTCGCTCTTGGGCGTGCGCCCTGGTTGACACGACCGGGCCTCATGGTTCGTTCCGGTTCCGGTGATTTGTTTTGGGAGCACGAAGGGTGGCTCCAAGACGGACTGGAGCGGGAGCACCATGGAAGGCCTTCAATGATACAGATCACTCTCCTTGAGAGATGACGTTGAGGAGCTAGGAGGGTCTGATCCATGCGTTCCATGTGTTCAAGCTGCTTGGAAGCTGATGAGGCTGTTGACCTGAAATTGAGAACTCCCGCGTGCAAAAGTCAGCTGGTAAACTTTTCCGAGAACCCTTTGCCAGGGAGGCAAGGGACAGCCTTTGGGGCTTCAGTGACGTTCAAAGGTGGCGAGAGGGGCACCTCCACACACTGATATCACTGATATAGGCTTATAGGTGTGTAGCTTAAAGTGGGAGACCCCCCAAAGACCTCCCGGAACCCATTGGTTGGGTGTCCCCTATCAAAATACATCAACATACAAACCTATATCCGCCGCATGTCGAGGAACAACGTGTCAATCTACATGTTCCAGTTCCCCACGGATGACGCGGTGCCATCCTACTGCCGCTGGCAAGGCCGGGTGGAACGAGATGGAACGAGTGGCATGGAAGGAGGAGGTGCCCCCAAGAGTTGAGTGGACCAACCTTTTGAGTGGATTTGTTCCCCAACAGCTGGAAGTTGTAATGTATACTCTGGATCAATCACCTTTTGAGTCGTGAAGAGGTTGTTCAATCCAATTGGGGTAGGTCTTTTTGTCAAGAGTCTACGTTAAGCTTTAACTCTGGTGTTCTGGATGCAACGCGGATGCAATTCAGCTGGGACCTCTGGTGCAGACGGGCGCGGTCTAAGACGCGCGACGTCGCACACGGCTGCGGCACAATTGAAACCAAAAGCCGCTGCACATCCACAGCGGCACCACCTGAATCCGCTTGGCCCGGCTTTGTTGGCCATTTGGCCAAGGACACTGTCAGCCACTGCAAGACTTCAGTCACATTCATCCGTTATGTTATGTTAGATCGTCGGCCATCTGGGAACACGCCCCTAATATGCCCTACACGGCCCTACACGTTTTCAAGAATTAGTACCCCAAAACGCGCAACAGGGACATCACATCGGCCTCACATCCGCCTCGCAGGTGTTGAGCACCCACCGTCCGCGCCCGATGTCGGTCCATTTCGCCAGGCACCTTTGTCACACCCATCTCAGTGGGCGGCTCGGATCACATCGTTTGCCCGGTGCCCTCGCATAGCAAGTTTGCACCCTTCAGCCACGAGGCGGGCAAACGAGGACGGCGCCTCGTGTCGGGCTGGAGCTTGGTGACGAACGTGTGTTTGTTTGTGAAACTCCCGCGTGGACGTGTACTTTCACCAGTTCCATCCGATGAAAAAAAGTGAATTCCAGACCCAATTTGCTTGGGACAATGACACCATTGTTCTGAAGGCGCTTTGGCAGCAGAGGTGGAGACGTGACCATGTAGTATAATGCGCACACAGGATTCAGGAACCCCCCTCTATTAATCAAGCCCAGCTGGAGCCTCCAATACTAAACTAATTAAAACTCTGCAACCTTTGTTCCTTGCCAGAACCCCCCCTATTAATCAAGCCCAGCTCCACCAGAACAAAAATAGTTTGTTTTCTATTTATTTAACTAGTTTTACTGTTTTAGTATTCAATATTTTTTGGTCCATGGTCTTTGATATGCAATGATCCAATTGGCATGGCTCTCTGATCAATCCTATTTGATCTCTTATCAAACTTGTGCCAATACACTCAGAGCTCTCATGGTTCTCATGGTTCAATCTCTCATGATACAGAATCCCATCAGCCATCATCTATCATCAGGTCCAGGTCCTCATTTCATCATCCATCATCAGGTCATAATCTTTATTAAGGAGATGTGGTTTGCACCCAAACCTCGTTGACCTTGTTGACCTTGAAGGGGGGGGAGGGTTGATTAATCCGGTGTCGACATTACATGCACTTGTAAACGAATGTTGCTTTTTCCTTTGCTTGTTGGCTACATAATTTGAGGACATCGCCGGTGGGCACTGGGCACCATTATAGCTCCAAGACTCTAACACCAACGCTGCAGTAATATCCAACCCGCCTTCAACGGATGAAAGGGGACCTGACAGAACTCAACAGAACTTTCTAGGAGGTTCAATTCTGAAACGGTTCTACACCACAAAGTGTGGTGAAGGTTGTGCCGTGTGAGCCCTGTTTCATGTTTGCTAGCTATGTACTTGCAGTCCACCCAATTCTTTTCATGTTTGTTTTATTTTGTGCCAATCCAACATCATATGCAAATTCAAGTTAAACTAAATTACATTCATCTGGAAAGTTACGAGGAGATTTTTTGGTCCTCGGCCCGCAGGTCATCCCCGAAAAACTAAAACAGTGTATTGGCTATCGATTCTATGAACACAAGAGGGTACATATGGACATCAGATGAATACAATGGACATCAGTGGACTATTCCTCGAAAACATGGGGATCAATGTCTGAATGACCCCCGTCCCCACGTCGATGGCCTCCGTCCCCACGCTTTCCGCAGGGCGATGATATGCCCCTGACCCTCGAGGTGAGCTTCGCCGGCCTCCCTCCGGCGGCTGGGCTCCGGGGGCCGGGTGTGCTCCAAGTGGGTCGGAACCTGGTTGACACGTTGTAGGTTCATCTGGACATGACGTAGTTTTACCATGTTTTACCTTTGACCTACACCCGTGACATGTGCATATAACCATACAAACTTCAAAAGGGGTATGACACATTCGAAGGACCTGTCACCTTGTGCGACGCCGTCCAACGCCGACTTATGCCTCGGTCCGTCCGGTCCGTGTGCGCGCTCGCCACTCGCCACTCCCGCTGCATGGGACTGGCAACCTCCAGGTTTGAAAAGGGGCCCAGGTCGGTAAATATGCGATACATATCCATATATGGAGTTTTGGAGGAGTTATATATATAATATAATATATGTACTGTATATGTGTACAAAAATGCACAACTATATATCTAATACTATATATATGATATACTACATGCCAAGTATATGGCAGTTGATCCAGTTGATCAATAGGTCGTTGAAAGGACTTTTTGACCGTTCCATGAACAGGACTTTATTGAGATCAATCACCAATACTATACAATACTACGTTATCTTGTTGCATTCAGCTTGACATGATGCTCTGGGTTCCATTCAATATGCTCTTTTGATGTTGAGCCGGACCAGGGTTGGGAATCTTGTGATTCAGCTAGAACCAGCGCCAGAAAAAGCTGGGAACTGGTGCCAGTGTTGGGGCTGTGTCAATGCATCCGTGGGTCGCGTCGCGGTGCTGAGGTCTGGATCCCACTTCCCAGGAGCCTGAACTTCAGGCAGCACAATGTGCCAGTGCGGGAGACGCAGGACAGATGAAACTCTGAACAGATTGAGCAGTAACAAGGGCATCGCTACTAGTAACAAGGGCATCTAGCTGGATGCACTTCCTTGAAGTGAAGTCCGATTTCCACACGCCCCGCAGACGTGCACAACCATGCACCTTGCAGCCAGCCAAGTAGTATTTGCGTAATTATGTAAAGAAGGATTTGTTCGTGAGAATCGCTCAGCACCTCTTGTATATTCACGCAGGGAAGAGCAAACCATGTTGGGGCAAGCTAGGCTGACATTGCACGGCTTGCCATGCATACCATTGACGTGGACGGTTCTACGCATGCGCTCGCCCAGCATTGTGCTGTCAGGAGCTCTTTGTGTCTCCAAGGCATGGTGTTGCAATCAAAGGTGGAGCAGACCTCACTTTGACAGGCTCTGGCTTCGTCTTCCCAGTGGCCACTTCTCCGAAAACACGGGGAACATGATCACAGAGGGCCCAAGACTTCAGTAGGGGAGTGCTGAAAACCATGCTGGAACCGAGATCTTTGGATTTAATTTAATGAAGGTTGGGGAAGGAGTGCTGGTCCGTTGGTATTGAAACTTGTCGGCAAAGTGCATGGTGAACTGAGTGGTGAAGTGTCATGTTCACACACTTGCGACCTGCGCAAGACTCACTGAAATCCTAATTAGGATTTACCACGGCTACATGGTGGGCAAAAAACATGTAAATGATGTTAATTAATCAATTATGATTATGTTGATCCACTTGTTTCGGGCCGCAACACACCCTATACCCACTATGAAGACGCATTAAAGGGTGTCCGGCATCCATGTGAACATTTGAGAAGCCAAAAAGTGATTCAACGCTAAATAGCAGCAACTCTAAAGACTTTTCAAATGCTGGGGTGGTGTGGTAGAATTCATCTCTTGCCGCACACTGGTGAGTGTGAGGCCTCACACAGGCCAGGTGAGGCCAAGCCGCTCCTGGCGCTCCCAGGTGAACAGCTCCCTGGTTGGTTGTGTCTTTGGGCGATGGTACTTCTCACACGGAGAGGCGAGGTACGGAACACGAGAAGCGACAGAAGGAACACGCAGAGTGGTTCTTTGGCAGCTGAGTGCTACTTCGAAAATCTTCGAAAGACCGGCACGCATGCAGATAGTTTGATAGTGTTCAAATATTCAGTTTGTTTGCATCAGTGACGTGGCGGTGAGTCAAGAATGTAGCCTCCGAAACTTCAATGGTAAAGAATGGCTAAAGGTAACACAAAAGGACCAACGTGGGCAGAAAGTCTTGTGACCCATATCCAGACGTTGGGAGCGACTCATGTCATGTCATTGTCAAAGATGTGTTTAAGACTTGCATGCGTGGCAGAGGCTCATGATGGGCCAATGGGAACAGTTTTTCAACCTTGACAAGACATCAAGCAAACCGATTTATACTGTAACTGAATCTACTGCGTACTGTAGATGGCAGCTTGCTTCTGCATCGTCACCTGGAAACGGCCATGACACACCCATTTGGGTGCTGTGCAACAGGTGACGAGTGGCACGAGCATGCATTGTCGGGCCCCGTCTCTTTTTGACATTTTCCCGGATGCTGTGCCGCCCATGGACGCTTGGACTGCCAGGAGAGAAATGTATTTTGGATGTCCTTTACGTGGAAAGAGCATCAGAATCCAGCAGATACCACATGCACCCGCTGTGCGTATAGAAAAGAGCACGTGCACCTGTAGACACGTACATGAACTCACGCATGTGGGGCTCCTTGTTGGGAACACTTGCAGACGGACGTTTGCGCTATCAAATCGCTTGCTCTTGAGTCATTTGAGGATGTGACCATTGACCTTACCTTCGATGGTGGACAGACGCGCACAAATTTGAACAACGTCTACAGCTATTTGAAGGATTTCCAGTTCTTTGATAGCAAGATAGCCTCGGCCAATTGGTGTTGCAATCATCACAAACTGGGAGCACAAGACTATCACTGCGGCTCTCACCACGACTCTAATGGTTGGACTCTGATGTGCTGCTGCTGCTGCTGCTGCACACTTCTTTTGTGGTAAGCTTGCCGCTGTTGCTGCTGGTAGTTTGCATTTACTCAAGGATGCTCATTGTTATACTGTACATTCCCATCATTGCTTTTGCTAGCTCTGCCGTTAATTGCTACTACACTACTCCCCTGTCACCAGATGCAGCCCTTCTTCAGTAATGACCGCACGTTGAAGGTGGAAGCCGGCAGCGGTGCGAGTGAAAAATTGACGGGATGCTCATGGATGTTCTAATCCCAGGGCTCCAAGCCGCCGCATTTGCTGGCTCCTCACATGCTGGCAACTCCTTCTTTGAGCATGCCAGCGGAGGAAAAACCGCCAAATGTTTTGCCTAGACCTGGTTATGTGAAATGGACGACCGGCATTTGCGGTTGGGAGGTTGGGTAAGCTGCCAAGGTTTGACTCTGTTTTGCCATCTGGAGGACTTTACAGCGGCTTGTATGCACTTATATATGTATTGCTGTTGCGGCTGTTGCACATGAATAAGATAAGCATCGAGGGTCCTTGCTTTGGTTCGATGCCCTGCAAGGTACACAGACCTTGGCCACTTTCCAGGGCCGGAACTTTAAGAGGACGCCTAAGACCTACTTGAAGTTCGGTGACATCAAGGCTTATCCCGTTGTTCTGTGTCTTGCGCGCCTTGATCCCACCGCTGGTCAAAAACGAGTTTGACTTTGTGCTCCTGGTTCCAACCCTCTTCTTGGAACCCCAAAGAGTCCGAACTGTCAAGTCCAGAGCGCTGTGCAGTTGTGGACCTGGTCAAACAAACCACGGCCCAGTTCACCGTCTTAGATGCATTCAAAACAACGAGATTCTTCAAGAGACCTGACTATAGGGTGGAGGCCATCGCTACTAGGGTGGAGGCCATCGCTCTTAGGTTGGAGGCCACCGCTATTAGATTGGAGGCCATCGCTATTAGGTTGGAGGCCATCGCTATTAGGTTGGAGGCCACCGCTATTAGATTGGAGGCCATCGCTATTAGGTTGCAGGCCACCGCTATTAGATTGGAGGCCATCGCTATTAGGTTGGATGTCATCGCTCTTAGGTTAGATGTCATCGCTCTTAGGTTGGAAGCCATCGCTCTTAATTTAAGCAGGAGGCTATCGCTCTTAGGTTGGAGGCCATCAGCTATATCGCTCTTAAGTTGGAGGCCATCGCTCTTAAGTTGGAGGCCACCGCTCTTAAGTTGGAGGCCATCGCTCTTAGGTTGGAGGCCATCGCTCTTA